CCGCCATCCTCCTCCTCCACCATAGCTCGCCGGGAATTTCTGCAAAAGTGTATTCTGGACAACGGCCATTGTTTTGAGCAATATCAGATTACTCGCTCTCATCTATCCTCAGAATTCCTGTAATTTTGCTCTGTCTGGTTTTGCTCTGCTCTGTCTCTGTCCATCAATCTGGTTTATGAGGTAAAAAATCAATTTCATATGCTAATCCAACTTGAGTTCTCTTTTAGTTATATGCTAATTCTGAAATTTGAAATATAATCTGTAAACTCTAATCAATTTGTCATTTTGGACAAGAGTTGTGTTTTTTAGGTAAATTACTGAAATTAATTCTAATCAATTTGTCATTCCTTGTGTGTAAACATATTATGCACACAGTTACTTGTAATTGTAAATTCGGTACAAGGAAGGAAATCTGAAATTAATTCTAATCAATTTGTCATTTTGGACCTATGAAATCTGAAATATAATCTGTAAACATAATATGAAATATAATCTGTCATTTTGGACCTATGATTAACTGTGGTTATTTTATGAGTAATTATTATATAATATGAAATATGAAATATGAAATTTGGGCAGTGTTATATAATCTATCATCTAAATATGAGTAATTTGTATTATCATTTTTGTGAGATAAGTAAACAGTTTATATGAAAGTTGGTGAGAAAAGTAATGTGAGATAAGTAATTTTGTGAGATAAGTAATGTGAGATATGAAATTTGGTTCACAATTATGAATAGTTCCATAATCTGTAAACTGTGTAGTTCCATAATCTGTAAAGAGTTTATATAAAATCTGAAATATGAAGTTTAGTTCCATAATCTGTAAACAGTATTTTTGTTTGGGCATTGTTATGGAAATGATATTTGCTTAATTGTTATTTCAGTACGCAAAGTGGAAAAATAGAGGTTGATTCAAATATTGGTGAGAATCCTTTAATAAATGAGGGCGAACACGTTGAAGAACCTAAGAAGGGTGTGTGTTTTAGCTCAAGGGAAGAGGTGTACACATTTTATGGCAAATATGCTAAGCATGTTGGATTTTCTATAGCTCATAGAGCACAACATTTTGGAGATAATGGGCAATTGCTAAACTTTGCAATTGAATGTTCTCGAGCGGGGCGGAGAAAAAAGGCATCAGAAGTCAACCCTCTGAAGCCATGTTTGTCCACAAAAATTGGTTGCACAACAAGGGTACGAGGTAGTGTACAAAAGGATGAGAGATATAAACTAACCACAGTTAACCTTGAGCATAATCATGATTTGATTCCCACCGACTCACGTCATTTTGCAATGAATAAGAAAATTCTTACTCCTGTGAAGAGAAGATTAGAAATTAATGATCAAACAGGGATTGGAGTGTCTACGAACTTTCATTCAATGGTTGTTGAAGCGGGGGGATACGAGTCATTGACATTTGACGAGCGAGATGCAAGAAATTACATTGAGAGAGCTAGAAGGTTGAGGCTTGGGGAAGGTGATGCCGAATCACTTCAAAGTTATTTTATGAGGATGTAAGCACATAGTGAGAGATTCTTTTATGTGATTGATGTTGATGAGGAGTTTCGCATTAGAAACTTGTTTTGGGCTGATGCAAGGAGTCGGGCGACTTATGAAGCATTTGGAGATGTCGTTTCATTTGACACAACTTATTTGACGAACAAATATGACATGCTATTTGCTCCATTTGTCGGAGTTAATCACCATGGACAGTCCATTTTGCTTGATTGTGGATTGTTGTCTAGTGAAGACACTAACACATTTGTTTGGCTATTCAAGTCATGGTTAAGTTGCATGTCAAATCATCCGCCAAAAGCTATCATAACTGATCAGTGTAGAGCTATGCAAAATGCTATAGAAATTGTGTTTCCACAAGCTCGACATCGGTGGTGTTTATGGCATATCATGAAGAAAATTCCGGAGAAGTTGAAATGATATGCTCAGTATGAAGCCATAAAGTTGGCTATGCAAAATGTAGTTTATGACTGTCTGACAAGAGCTGAATTTGAGAGTAAATGGGAAGAGATGCTTGCAACATTCAATCTTTATGATAATGAGTGGTTGGGGGTACTATATGATGAGCGGAATCGACAGGTACCTGTCTATGTTAAAGACATTTTTTGGGCTGGCATGTCAACTACACAACGAAGTGAAAGTACGAATGCGTTTTTTGATGGATATGTAAATCCAAAAGCTACATTGAAGCAATTCATTGAACAATATGACAATGCCTTGAGAAATAAGGTAGAGAAAGAGAAGAAAGCAAACTTCAAGTCTCGACACAAATTATTTGATTGCCTAACTATATACGGGTTTGAGAAGCAATTTCAGCAAACCTACACCAATGCAAAATTCAAAGAAGTTCAAGGAGAGTTGAAGAGATTAGTTTACTGTCAGGCGGTGATTGTGAAAGATGAGAGATCAATTTCTACATATAATGTCTAAGAAGCGATGGTAGTTTCTGAGAAGATGAAGCATGTGAACTTTGTTATCTATTTTAATTCAACTGAATGTGAAGTTCAATGCATATGTCGGTTGTTTGAGTTTAAAGGCATTATGTGTGGTCACTCACTCACTGTGTTTGTCAGAAGATGCATAAATGAGGTGCCAAGTAAATACATTTTGCCCCGGTGGAGAAAAGATGTGGATAGAGAATACGCATGCATCAAAACCACATACACCGGCTTTGGGAATGATTTCAATGCAAGTACCTATGAGAGGATGAACAAAAAATTGATTGCCATTGTACAACTTGCTGGTAACTCTGAAGGCAAAACTAGAATTGTAGACCTTGGATTGGATGAAATCAATGAGAGAGTCATGAAAGAAGAATCCGGTGATGGGAGTAATTTACCATGTTCAACAAGAAGTCCGATTCACACCGGTTCTACACAAGGAGGTACTAGTAGGAAGGTGATTAGTCCTTTGGTTGCTCGGCGAAGAGGTCGTCCAGTTACGAAACAGAAGGTTGCCAAAGTAGATCAAATTGTTAATCGGTTCAAGGCAACGGCAAAAAAACAAACAAAAGCAAAGGTAAAATGTGTATTCAAATGTTTTTTTTGACAAAGTTTATTGAAGTATGTAAAAGCAATTCATAAATTTCAATCTGTAATTATTCTTCAAAACATACAGGCTGCTAAGTTGCTCCGATTTGAACGTGAAGCTCAAGCTCAAGCTCAAGCTCAAACACCATATTATCCTTATATGGTTGGCACAGAAAATAGTATGTATGTACCGGTACGTGTTCCAAAGAGGCCTTCATGTACTTTTACAAAGTGTATTCGAAAGAATACTTCATGTACTTTTGCAAAGTGTATTGTTCTAACATGTACTTTTTGCAATGAACTGTCATAGGTGGCCCATGGTATTGGAGGCACATCTCTTACTCCATCGGACTTCATAAGTGGCACACAGGGAAGTTTGATGAGTGCTCCAACTCAGATTTATGGTTCTGCATCGAGAAGCTTGGATATTACAGACTTGTTTGACTAGTTTCTATGTATTTCAACTGTTTGTTTTTGAGATTGGAAATTATGTAGTCTACTAATCTGAGTTGTTTACTTTGATGTTGAGAAGATTGGAAATTATGTAGTCTATTATCATGAGTTTCAAACTTTGATGTTGAGAAGATTGGATATTATATAGTTTACTATTATGAGTTTCAAACTTTGATGTTAAGAAGATTGGAAATTATGTAGTCTATTATTTTGAGTTTCAAACTTTATTTTTGAGATTGTAGGTTATGTTAAAACTTTGTTATTGAGATTCAAACTTTGTTATTTAATATACAATGTTTATTTAGCAGTCCTTTGTATTAAACAATGTTTATTGAACAGTTTTCATGTATTCAACCATGTGTATTCAATAGTTTCCCTGTATTTAACAATGTGTATTCAATGGTTTCCCTGTATTCAACAATGTATATTAAATAGTTTCACTGTATTCAATTTACCATGTTCAATAATTTACCTATATTCAACAATAGTTACCTTGTATTCAACAGTTTCCTGTATTTAACAATGTCCATTCAATGAGTATTGAAGAAAGTGTACAAATTTGAACAAGCCATTTTCCATTCCACTAACCACAAAAGAGGTACAATAAGTAAGTTTCAATACATAACAAAACGTAACTTCCTCCAAAACATCACAAAAGTATTAAGTCTACTTGAACTTGTACATTGACATCTACTTCTACTTATTACATATTCATAAGTTTAAAGGCACCAATTACAAACAACACGGACAACATATATATAAACTTTTGCATCTTTGCGTTCTGAATCCGAAGTTGTTCCATCATTTGTATTTGTTGTTCGGTCATAGCTCGAAGTTGTTCGGTCATAACTTGTTCGCCGACAGTTGGGACCTCATCTCTTTGAATTTGATGACCTCCATATTCTGGATTCGTAGGTAAACACCATCCGATAAAACCACAAACATTACAATAGTAGAATAATTTGTTCTTGTTTTGATCGGTTTGTGATATTTTGATGGTGGCCTTTTTATTACATGTACGACAATTTTTGTTGACGTATGTCAACCAACTTGAGCTACTGCCACTGACACTTGAACTTGACATCTGCAAAGAGGGACAAATAACAAGTTAAGTAAAGTTAATAAGTTAAGTTAAGGGAGAATGCTGGAATTATTGCCTTAAAAGTATTTCTGATGAAAAATAATTAGGAAAATGGTATGAAGTCGACAAATCTGATTCAGCTTCACAACTCCTCTGTTTTAGGTTCACAAGGCTGAAAGTGATAGAGGAGTCTTGTAGCTGATCCATTATCCAAGTAAAAGAAGTTCTTATACAATCCTTCATTTTCCCCTTGATGGTTTCATCCTTGTGTGTGCATGCTCCAGAAACAGAGTTGTGTTTTTTAGATAAATTACTGATCAGATCCACCTGCAACATGCACACACAGGTCCAGCTGCAAGTATACACAGGCATGCATCTCCACCTGCAGCATGCATACACAGGTCCAGTTGCTAGAAAAATCTAAAAAATTAATGATTTTTCAGGTAAATTACCTGTTAATAGATACATAGATATTTTTTTGGTTCCTTGCCTTTTCAGGTTTTTAGGTTTGATAGATAGATAGATAGATAGATAGATAGGTAGATACAGGTCAACAGGTTTGCTAGATAGATAAAATTCCAACAGGTTTGCTAAATTGCTAATACAGGTCAACAGGTTTGCTAATACAGGTCAACAAGTTTGCTAAAATTCCAACAGGTCAACAGGTTTGCTAGATAGATAAAATTCCAACAGGTTTGCTAAATTGCTAATACAGGTCAACAGGTTTGCTAATACAGGTCAACAGGTTTGCTAAAATTCCAACAAGTCAACAGGTTTGCTAAATTGATATAGGTCAAACACATGGTGATGAGGTGCAATTATTTGAATTGGTTTTTACTCTTCACTATAACCAATTGTTTATAATTTTCAGGTTTTCATAATTGCTTATAAGCAATTACAAACCTGTTGACCTGTATCTATCTTGGTTTTCATAATTGATTATAAGCAATTGCTTATAATCAAGAGTGCTTTAAACCTGAAATTGATTAAACAGGTTTTCACTCTTGATTGTATATGTTTAATCAAGAAATTATGCACTAGAGAAATTGAACCAATTCAAAAAGGTAAATGATTAGATTAAACATGTCGTTGGGAAATTTCATCGAACACGCTTAAGGCAATGTAAGACTCCAAATGAAAAGGCCGCAATTCGTAAATGAAAATGCCACAAATCCCAAATGAAAAGAAAATTTATGAAAAGGAATTTCAAATCAAGGTTTTCATCGAACAGGAAATAGATATATATATATATATATATATGCAGATATACATACAGTTGAAGTGAAGGGAAGGAGAGATATATACATACAGTTGAAGTGAAGGGAAGGAGAGACAGAGAGATTCCACAATTCATCGAACAAAAAATAGATAGATAGATAGATAGATAGATACAGGTCAACAGGTTTTAGGGAACGAGCTGTCGGTGTCGGAGTGAAGGGAAGGAGTGGTCGCCGGCGTCAGAGTGGGAGTCAGGCGTCGGAGTGGGAGGTCAGTAGCTGTTACCGTTGGAGCAAAGACATATACGTGTTTGAGGGGGGAGGGGGGAAAATTTCAAAATGAAATGTGAACCTGTGTGTTTGGGTCTATTAACAGATACATAGATTTTTCAGTCACGTGACAATCACGTGAGTGCCACCTCACTAGGGGTCACTGGGGGTCGGGAAAATTGGGGGGTGGGAAGCATTTTTCAAAAGCAATATATATGACCTAAATAAAAAAATATACTAAAATAGCTCAACCCAAGCAATGGGATGAGAAAAAAAATTAGTATTTTTTATCATTGAATAGTGACAACATGACCACTCAACATGATCACAGGATTACTGTCAGTCTGTCAATCTCACAATTTTTTTTTTTTTTGGTTAAAAAATATTTGGTAATTCAAATTTGTGTGATCTAAATAATTTAAATATATTAAAACGACGTCGTTTTGAGTGTTTCGAATCATTTAAGCTAAGAAAATTCAAGTTACCTTGTTGTTTTTTGTTTTAATGACACGAGTTAATAGAAGATAACAAAAAAGTATGTAAGATCTGTAGGGACTCCATGGTTTTATCAATCCCAATCTGCTCGGTTTCTCAGTCTCCTCTCCAAACAACATTATTAGAAGGGAGACAAGGGTAAATTATCAACACGTTTTAATAATTAGATTTAATTTCTATCAAATTTTTTTAAAAATAAATCCTAATAAATTCGTCGATAAAAATTAACTAGTAGTGACTTTTTTTATCAGATTTTTATAAATTGTCGTTAAAACATACAATTAGTGATGTTTTTCTGTGATGAAATTTTTAAATTTTGTTGAAAGTTAAAAATTAACAACATTTTTTTTGTAACGATTTTTTAAAATTATTGCTAAAACTTATAATTAGTGACATTTTTTATGATAAAAATTTTAAACTGTGACTAAAAATTAACAATTAGTAACTTATTTTAATAATGTTTGATGAAATTTTTTATTAATTATCATAACACCTATTAGATAATAAATTCACTTATTAAGATCTACACGTCAGTCTCCTTAAAAAATATGTTAGATCTACAAATATTCTATAATATTACCAATCCTAATCTGCTGGGTCTCTCAGTCTCCTCTTTAAACCGCGTGTTCAACATGATCATAGAGGCGTGGGTTTCATGTTATGTGAAGTCTACTTGCAATCTGTGTTTGATGATTTTCACGTATCACTACCAAGAGTTTATGAAAAATTATTTAAAATATTATGTGACATTGATTATGTAATTTTTTATTTTTTATTTTTAAGAGAACTTTAACTTAGAGATGAAGCTACCTAAGGAATAAGGGGGAAAAAATTGTAAAACAACGACCAAGAAAATTCAGTGAGGACAGAAGAAAGGGGAAAAGATAGTTTACAAGGACCACATTCATTGTTTGATCAAAACAAATAAAAGACCACATTCATTGAATTCCCACTTACTTTCCTCTGAATTAAATTGTCTGTAGACTCTGTGCAACAAGGACACTTTAAGAAGTTTAAAAAAAAAAAAAAAAAATATACAAATAGAATAATGCTTGGGACCCCCTTTTGGGGGTCACCCCCTCACCCCCTTTGCCACGTGGCAGGGGGTGATTGGTGGAGCAGGAAAAAAAAGAAAAAGAAAAAGAAAAGGTGACCAATGAGAGAGAAAGGGGGTCAAAGGGGGTGGGAAAAAAAGGGGAATGGATCATTACTCAAAGAAAAAAAGAGAGACTAGACTTGCGTTCGGTCAAAATTTTTACTGGAGAATGTTATTCGGGTTAGTAGAGTTTATAATGAGTTTTTTTTTTTTTAATTTAAATTATTTATTTTATAAGATCTTTTATATATATCATTCATATATAAAATTGGATCAATTCAATGATTATAATATGTTTAATTTTGTCACTAAAAAAATAGATAGTCTATTTTTAAAAACTTATTTATCGTCTTTTTAAAAAAAATAAATAAATGCGATAAATTAAACATAATCTAATAATCGTAACATATTCAATTTATACAAATACACTCTTTTTAGAGGGGGTCTGAAAGAGGTGAAAGAGATATTTTTATAATTGATGAAATCAAAATATACGAGTTCATAGATGAGGAGAGTAAAATGATATTCATTAATAGTTGGAGGAGTTTTGATGTAATAAATCCCAAAAGAAACAATCAACTCAAAAAAGGAAATAATTAAATCCCTTGACCCCTTAACCTCTCAGTCAGTAGTGTACATGATCACCAATTGCACTAGCTCCAGTTAGTTAATGGCTATTTTTATGTTACACGTCTTAAAAGTTGTACATCATATACTTATTTATGATTTAAAGAACGAGATGGTGTGTGATTATAAGGTACATAGAAATGATAATTTTGGGACCCATAGGCTTTCCATGTTTTTACTTGTAAATTCACTCAATTTCAAGGTGATAGGTCTATCACCTTGCCCGTTTGATAGAATTGTGAGAAAGTGTAAACAGGACCTTTGCAATACATACTTTTTTTTCCAAATAAAACCTTTATAAATAGATTAACAAAAATGCTAGAAGTTTCAAAAATTCTGTCAAAAATTTTACCAACTATCTCACATGGGTGTGGGACTCACATAGGACCCACATTGTGTGGGTCCCATACCCATGTAAAATATTTGATAAAATTTTTAGTAGAATATTTAAAATCTCTAACATTACTACTAAAGATAAAAACATCAACAGTGTACAGAGCAGCCATCCACGTGAAAGATGATTGACCAACCAAACCGGGTGGATAGCGATGGGACTTGCCCACTGAATTCTGTCCTCTACTTGATCGGTATTTGTACATATATTAATTTTGTACATATATTAATTTTCACTTATTAATTATATTATAAATATTAAAAATATCTTAAATTATTTCACATCATTAATTATAAACCAGTTAGTAATATATTAATAAGTACATATAATATTATTCTTAATTAATAGAAAAGATTGTTAACACATGAAAAAGACATGTAATTTTGGTTTTTTCATCATCATATCATCGTAATCAGGGACAGATTTATGAAGGACCAGGGAGTATTTATTTATTTATTTATTGGTTTGTATATAAGGAAAATAATTAACAAATAAACAATTTATATAGAAATAACATTTAGAATAATTTTTTAATGGCATTTTCCAAATCACAAAAATAATGGTGGCCGTTTTAATTGAAAATGAAAAGACTATAACAAGTCACATTATTATATATGAGAATTTTGTAAAAAAAAATTTCAATGCAACAGTGATATTATATCATCATTTACATGTAAACATAGTTAATCCTATTACGAAAATGTGAAATTATTGAATTGTTAATTTTATTTGACGATTAATTTTCAATGTGTTATTATTTAAAATATTATTTTCCAATTATGATCTTTCACAAGGTCAATTGTAAAAAAAAAATTAAAAAATTAAATTTTTTATATTAAAAATTTAAGATTTTTTACTTAATAGTAATTTAAAAAATTATTATATATTGTTATTGAGTATGAGAAATTTGTTTTTGAAATTCTAATTAATAAATGCTCACTTTGAACATTTTTTCTGATTCTGTCACTCATCATAATTAATATACAACCCAAAGAGGAGAGGGAACTAGGGTTTTAACCTACCAATTTTTTTTTTGAGATAAATTACTAATAGGTCTTAATAATTAGATTTAATTTTTATTAAGTCCTATTGAAAATAAGTCATAGTAAAATTGTTGCTAAAAATAATTTTTGTGATGATTTTTTACACATGTCGTTAAAAATTGATAATTAATGACTTCTTTAATTACATTTTTTATAAATTGTCGCTAAAACTTATAATTAGTGATATTTTTCTGTGACAGATTTTTCAAATTGTCTCTGAAAGTTGAAAATTAGTGACATTTTTTTGTGACGAATTTTGTAATTGTTGCTAAAACGTATAATTAGTGACATTTTTTGTAACAAAATTTTTAAACAGTCATTAAAAATTAACAATAGTGTCGTTTTTAATAATGTTTGATAAAAAATACCATTAATTAAAAGACTTATTAAACAATAAATTTACTTATTAAGACTTACACGTAAGTCACGCTAGCAAAATCTATTTATACAATCGAATCAAGTTCCATTATCTCCCTTAAAATCAAATAAAATTTAAACAGTTTCTACATTGCACACAAAAACTTATTTTTACAAGAGTCTCAGAGAATGACATACTGTACACTAACATATACAAAATATTGGTCAGGTCAATACTTATGTATATCCTTTTGGCACTTCAAATCACTAGTACAAAAACAATCCTCACTACCAAAGACTTCTGCTTTTTTTCCTTTTTTTTTTTTTTCTTAGTCAATGACTAAAGGATTCTTGCTTTTGGACTTTGGAAACTTTATCATACTTTGGAATTTTCTATCCCCTCCCTGCATGTTAACGACGAAATCTACCAATAAATTCAATTTTTTACCAAAAAATTGATCAAAATTCTGGTAATTCTGGTAAATGACCACCTGTCCTGATGAGAAGATTATACCAAAAGTCCATGTCATCATCAATGTTGAAACTACACTTGTTATTGCCATGTTCCATAGTGCTATTAGTAGCGGTTGCAGCCGGAATCGATGAAACTAAAAATTGTAACTCATCACCATTGCTCGAAAAATCTGATTTCATGTTCGATTTCTCAGCTGATAATTTTTTAGACCAAAAACTTTCATCGACTTGGGAAAATGTTTCGGATTCATTCTTAATGACCATGTTGTTTGGTAACCCGGCTAGGTCTGTGACCGATGAGAGTTCACTATATGATTGTTGTGGAGAACTAGGTGCACACCCTGGACTCTCATTCCGCGGGTGAGTAGGGATGTGAAATTTCATTGATTTGGATTCAATTGAAGCATTGGAATCAAATTTGGGCACGGTGATTGATTGTTCTTTGTTGTTTGAAGTAGTGTGATAATTTTTTGGCCTTTTCTTCAAGTAGGTGTGCCACACATTTTTTATCTCGTTGTCAGTCCGGCCCGGTAATCTTGCTGCAATCGCAGACCATCTGAAAATCAACAAAAATATTCAAATAAGCTAATTAATGAGTTTGAACGAATTTGACAGTGATTTTTTATTTTTATTTATTTTTTAAATGGTAGTGGGAATATTATAAATTATGCTAATCTCTTATTTTATAATTTTAATTATTAAAAATGCACAAAAGCCTAAGGAGATAAGATCTAGTAATAGATGTAACTTGTAAGTAATAACATATTGGTAGGCCTAATTTATTTATTTATTTAATAATTTATTGACACAATGGGGAATCTTTTCAGAGCTACTTGTATGATTCTTTTATAAAACCAACATGGAGAGGAGAGAAGATGTTTCTTTTTGTTTCTTGTTTCGATTGAAATTTTTTCATTTTCCTCCGAATGCAACACAAAGCTTGATAAAAAATAAAAAATAAAAAAAAAGCATACATTGACGATGTTTGTTACAACTTAAATGAATTATTTATAATATATATTTTTATTTTGAAATTTTATGTGAGATCTTCTATCGTTACTTTTGTGTTTACATTTTATTCGATAATCTTTTTCCTTTCGGAGAAAAAAAACTAAAAAAAAGATTTATTCTGAAATTGAAGAAAAATATTTTTAAATTAACAAGTTCTAATTTAAAATAAGATGAAACAAACAAGAAATTGATGATTAGACAATTGGATTAAGAAAGCAGGGGCATCCTATTTATCATCACATTCAACTGTGGCGGCTGTGGCCATCTTTACTTATTACAAGTCTATGTTGGTCCAAATTAGTGTGATGCTTACGCTGTGTAGGTAAGGATTTAAATGGAAAAAAAAAAAGAAGAGTAAAATATGATTGAAATATAAATTAATTTTTTTTTTCTCTTTTTTTTTTTTTCTTTTTAAAATTTCTATCCAAATATATTATTCAAACATAGCATTAGTGACCTTGTAATTCTTTTAAGGGTAAATTACACTGACAACCCATCAGGTTGGTCCAATTACATTCTACTCCTGATGTTTTAGAAATTACATTTCCATCCTTGTGGAAATGTAAACCAAAGGAAAAAAAATACAAAAGAAGTAAAGTAAAGTAAGAAAAGAGAGAGCGCATGAGTTCAATATCGTTTAATGTCTTTATTCCATCTAAATAATTATAATTACAAATGTCAAGGGTAATATATATTAAATCTAAACCTTAGGGGTGTAAGTGTAATTTACACTTCTTTTTATTCATAGAGAAAAAATTTGATAACACGTTATTATTGACATGTGATACCATGTATCAATAATGGATTGGTATCACTGTAATAGTGAAATTTTACTCCCCTAAACTTCCTAAATAATGTAGTCATGAACTCTTAAAAGTAATGCTTAGCAGTTAAGCATAGTTCAGTTCATGACTCAATTGTGCAACAAAAAAGTTTCACGTATAAATCACATGCTAATTTTTGTCAATCTTAGATTAATTGCAACTTGATTTAAAATACAATGAGTTGACCGACATTAAAAATTGATGAGTTAAACTTGGTTTTTAATAAATGTGTAAGGATACTAAATATAAGTAATCCTGTTTTATTTCTATCAATATACTATGGTGTTTGATTAATTCATTGCATCTAATTTACACACTTGCACAAAATTGAATCAATGAACTATGCTTAAGTTTGAGAATTATACATGGACACACACCTATTCCCAAGCATTTCATGCCAGTTGATGATAGTCTCTTCCTCTTCTTTACTGAAATTTCCTCTCTTAATATCTGGTCTTAAGTAGTTTGTCCACCTCAGTCTGCAACTTTTTCCACATCTCAATAAACCTAAATAAAAACAAAATTAATTCACAAATGGAGAAAAAAAAAAACTAATTCCATTTCTTCATGAAATAATCAACTTTATTTTATCAACAATGATAGAGAACTCTAATTTTGAAACTCTAAAGAGAGTTATAATGATGTGGTAAGAGAAAAAAAAACAAAAACATAGGCATGCACATCACATGTGAGCACCACTCCTTATCACATCACTAGAGCTCTTATAAAGCTTCAAAATTAGAACTCACAATGTATATTCTTATTTAGTAATGGTACATAACTATAATACTAGAGCTCTAAATGAAACTCTAGTGATGTGGAAGAGAGAGAGAGAGTAGAGAGAGATAGAGAGAGAAGTGTGAGTCCTACCTTCACATGGCCACTCCCCATATTATTAGAGTTACATTAGAACTCTCAAATTAGAGCTCCTAAACATTATTCAAGTACAAATTTATGTATTTCTTTCTCCTTTCATCTACGTTTTTTATGAAGATTAAGAGTAGGCGCGATGTCTGAATTCGAGTCTTACCAGCTTGTTTTGGAAGAGCTCGCCAATTGTTATGGCCATGTTGTTGAATGTAAGAGGTCAAAATTTGATCTTCTTGAGGTGTCCATGGCCCTTTCTTCAGTCCCGTCTTCTCACAACAAGGAGCTCTCACCATCCTTGTTCTCTCTCTCTCTCTCTCTCTCTCTCCTTTCTTTTTCAAATGAGATCCCAAAGCTCTAGTGTTTGTAAAGGGGCGATAGGTGGCTATTTATCCGTTATTCCACAAATCAGAAGGGTTATAGAATAGTCCAAGTACAGCATCTCAATTCATTAATAGCTTACAATTTCCAGGAAAGAGGATCTCTCTCTCTCTCTCTCTCTCTCTCTCATATTTGTGCATGGTGAAAAGATACAAGATTAATTTATGTGATGTTTATCAGCATAAACTTGGAACTTCGAAATTTTTATCACTTTGTCACTTTTTATTATTAGGAATAAATATTGAGTGAAATATTTAGTTAATAAAAATTTACAAATGATTTATTAAGTGACAAATTACACTAGCAGTCCTTATAATTTGGGACTCATGTTACTTTAATTCTTAACTTTTTAATTGTGAAATATTTAATCTTGAATTTTAAATCTTATTTCAAATAAAGACAATTGAAGATATCATTGCTCAATTTCAAAGGCAAAGTCGTCAATTTGATAAAATATAAACTAATTTGACAAAAATAAATGTCAAAAAAATATTTTTAAATTTTTAAAAATTATTTCTACCCACCAAAGATAAAATTATGTAAAACTGATAAATCTTTTACGTATTTATTTATTTTACCAAATTAATTTTTATTATGTGTTTGGATGATAATCATGCAATGGGTGATTGTTAGGTTTTTAATGTGTAATCGATATATTTAAATATGAAATGTTTTTAGTTTTGGATTTTTTGATTTAATGAATTGGTTTAATATTGATATTAAAGTGTTGCCATATTTGACTTTTGAAAAAATATAAACTAATTTAATGAAAATAAAAACAACCACTTATTACATGATTATCATTCCAAATACATAATAAAAATTAATTTGGTAAAATAAATAAATAAATAAATGTGTAAAAGATTTGTTAATTTTAGATTTTATCTTTGGTGATTAGAAATAATTTTTAAAAATTCAAAAATATATATTTGACATTTATTTTTGTCAAATTAATTTATATTTTATGAAATTGACGACTTTGCCCTTGAAATTGAGTAATGGTGTTTTCAATTGTCCATATTTTGAATAAGATTCAAAATTCAGGTCAAATGTATCATAATTGAAAAGTCAATGATTAAAGTGACACAAGCTCCAAACTATAGGGACCGTTAGTATAATTTGTTCTTTATTAAGTGATATCTCTTGCCTTCACCAACTTAATTATGTAATTTTTACTATTTTAATGTAAGATTTTTTACTAATTGATAATACTATAAGGTTATGTCATCATTAAAATGATATATAAGTTCACATTTAACATCAATCTTCTAGACTCATCAATTTATTATCTTTTTAACATATCATTAAATTTAAAAGATAGATCTAATTTTTTAATCTAAGTAGCAATGTTCTATACTTAATATTTAACTTGTCACTTAAACATATAGGTAGAAAGAGGACTAGAGGGGTTGGGGGAACTTTCTTCTCCACCCTTATAAGACCTGTTAAGAATAAAATATATATATATATATATATAAAATAAAGTTATCTCTCTATTTCAGTTTAAGCTTTTAAATAAATTGATAGTCAACAATTCAATACAATATCGGAGTAGGCAATAAAACTTGTGTTCAAACCTTACCATCTACTTGATAGATTTAGGAGATGCCGGCGTAGGCGCGGGTGCGGGCGAGTGCGGTCACCCCCTCCCAAATTTTTAAAAACAATGTATATTATATTAAATTAGTAAAATAATTTTAAAATGGAGTATTTCGCACCCCAAACTTTCAGTAGCTCGTACCTTATAAATTATTTACATTATAAATTTTTTAATATAGTTTTTAAATTGAGTTTTATCAAATATTGATCTATTGTATTTGTTATATGTATTATTTGTTATATTTCTATATTATTTAGAGTTACTTATATTCTTTTGTTTATTTTTATTTGTTATTATTCTTATTTTCTGCTCATATTTCATTTATGTTTTTTTATTCTTTTTTTATAAATCAACTTTAATTAGCTTATATATCTTATTTTGCATTCATTCTTGTTTGTTTATTCTCTAGAAATAGAAATATTGTTTGCAAATAAAAATATTATCTACTTCAACATAACATTCTTAAAATAAGTTTATAAAATTTAATACCGTTTATTTAAATAGATTATAATTCAAATATTTTCAATTATATATATATATATTTTTTTCTTTTTAAATTTTTATCAAAATCCATAATTTAAACACAAATTTACTCTTAACTATTTGCAATATTTACTCTTAGCATAGTTAGGTATCGTTTGACAAATTTGACTTTTTAGCTTTTTGGCTTTTTTGGAAGTGATTTGGGAAGTTGGTAAAAAGCTGACTTTTTGCTTTTTAGTTTAATATTTATTTATGGTGTCAAATCAAATTAAAATGACCAAAATACCCTTACCCAACATAAAAGATTTATTTTTTTATTTTTTTTTTCATAGGCCCTAATTTGTAATTTTATAGCTACGTTTTTGGCACTTGCCAAATGACTTTTCTGACGTTTTTGGCAGCCACGTTTTTGAACATTTTATCCAAAAACGTGACTTTTTACCATGTTCCCAAAATGGCACGATATTACTTAAGGGACCCACGCATGAGCAAAAACAACATGCATGATGTGTACGTAAGCCAATGACGCTACGAGAAAATGCAAATGATTTTTCCTTGTAGCTTCCGATATGTTCTGTCTTTGTTTCTAGGAAAAGTGTGGAGAAAATTATTAGGGGAAATTTAAAAAAATCAAATTTTACTAGTATAAAATAATAAATTTTGAATTTTTAGTTTTGTCAATTTAATTTGTAATTTTAATTGATTTTTAATTTAAATTATTTATCAATTTTTGGTTAAATAAAACCAATGAGAAAATTATATTTTAGTCATTAAATTTAATGTAGATGTATATTAAATGTGTAAAATATTTTTTTGTTGAGTTTAATGATTAAAATATTATTTTTTCTATCAATTTAACTCAATAAAAATAGGTTGGTAGTTTAAATTGAAAATAAATCAAAAGATTATGATTTAAATTAACAAAATTAAAAATTAATTTTTTTTTACTAGGATTAAACTCTTTTTTAAATTATTATGAATTTACATTAATAATATGCATTTAAGTTTATTGTTATTTTCAAATTCTAAATATAGTTATTTTTTATTTTTTAAGGTACATAGCATGTGTGTTTGTTGAATAATAATGAGAGAGTTCTAAATTTTGAGCTCTAAAGAGAGTTACAATAATATGACAAGAGTAAAAAAGAAGAAGCGAAAACATCATATTAATGTAGTAGAACCCACCCTTAAAACTCTTTTAAAACTCATGTTAGAGTTCCAATATATTTTTGGTCTGTGAATCCTTTAGGCACCGTTTGGGACGTAAGATTTGAGATTTTTTTGGCTATTTTAGTCACAAAAGACAAAATAGACTATTTTAATCACAACAAACAAAACATCACATCCAACCCATAATCATTACACTCTTCTCTCACAAAAAAAGTCAAAAAATCCTTCCCAAACCAAACTTTTTAGCCCAAATTAAAATAACTAAAAAAGCCAAAAAACTAAAAAACCAACCCCCTTCCCAAGACTTTTATGGTCAAAGATCCAAATGTATGGTCTCTTAACTTTTTGAATAAGTGGGATCCAGAATACTTAAATGGTCTCTTAACTTTCGTTTTAGTTAAAAAATTAAAAAATTATTATAAATTGTTACATTATTTTTTTTATTTTTTTATATATCTTTTTATAAAAAAATTAAAAATTATTAAAATAATTTATTCCTAAACAAAACCTTAATCTATCCCGAATGATTATGTGTAGTTAAGAATTTAAAATAGGAAATAAATTTTAAAATTTAGCTTTTCTTAAGTTAGTCATCTTAAATTGAGAGAGTATTTAGATTTGGTAGGCCCATTTTGGAATTGATTTCATTGATCAAAACTATTCACCTTTTAAGACTCGTTAAGTAGAATATCCATACAAAAGATAAGATAATCGGACATCAGTAGCTATATAACGGATTCATATTCTTTAAATTATATTTGTCGTCTATTTTTTTTTATTAAAAAAAATATGATTTAAATTTGAAATACAAGATATCTCATGTTTTTAATATAATTATACTACTTTTTCTTTTTTTTTTCTTTTAATAAGGTTAAAGAGAGGAGAATTAATACAAATTGTATGAGAGCAAAATGATAACAAAGAAAAATATTGATCGAAAGGGAGTTAAGAAATAGGAAAATGAGTGGTAGCTTGAAATTCGGAGCCCGAATTTGGCTCGAAACAGAAAAGAGAGAGAGAAGGAGAAAAGAGGAAGAGAGGGAGAGGGAGAGAAAGAGAGAAGCAAAGGGGAAGAGAGAGAGAGAGAGAGAAGACGATCGTCGCCCTGCCCAGCCGCCAATCCGCCGATCATCGCCCAGCCCAGCCCCGCCTCCGCCTCCGACCGCCGTCGCCCCGCCTCCGCCTCCTCCTCCCTCGAATATTATGCCCCCTCCAGTCCTTCTCCTCCTCCTCCTCCCTCCTTCCTCCTCCTCCTCCTTCTCCTTTCTTCCTTCTTCTTCCTGGTCTTCGTTCTTCTTCTGCAAAAAAAAAAAAAAGATATAGAAAAGATGAAGAAGATGGAGTTGAAAATAAGAAAAAGAAAAGAAAAGAAAAAAAAAAAGAGGGTCAAAACGACGTCGTTTTGACCCCTCGAGCCACAGTCGAGCCACAACTTTCGAGTTACGAATCGGAACCGTAGAAATTATTATTTAAATTAGCTTCATTGATAATGTTCCATATTCTTTCTCTATTTTATTTAAATATTATTTTTTAAATTTTTTTTAAAAAAATCTTTATTTCTCAAAAGATAAGAGATGATAAAGATAAGAAAAAAACAATGTTTTAAGAATTTAACATTCTGCTCTTTAATACGATCTGCATTCCTAATTAGAAAGTCGTCATTTTTTTTTAACGCAAACATAAATATGACACAATTTGAAAATATGACTATTAAATGGGTTATGTTATGGTTGAATATGTATAATCCAAATACAACTCATTTGACCCATGTAAAAATCTGTATCGTCGTATGGATACGAACCCACTATTAACGTGCAAGTAACTCAAATCTAATAGATATATAATTTTAAATGTTTTATTCTCATTCATTGGATTAC